CTTGGTCCAGGTACAGATTTCTCAGAAGTACAATTAAGTGTTCTGGAATACTCATACTTCTCAATGTTGTCCATAGCTTGTCATGATACACACAATTACTGGGTCAAAAACTAAGATGATTCTTGCGACATTATCGAACTGTATTCTGAAAATTTGTCTTGGGGGAAGGGAGCCTCTAGATTGAATGGGTGAGCACTCAACAGGTTTGCCATTTGGTTTGGTTCATTCAACCTGACAAATGCCTGTGTGGGAAACTATCATGTGTATGAAACTGTGGTGTTGGCTAAGAAGGAAGCAGGGGATGTGAACTTTCTTCTCTGTTACACAGAGTAGCTTGGAGTCAGCCCTGGGTGTCATCAGGACTGCAAGTAGAGCTGCTTTCTTACTAGACTCTGCAAGGCCTTAGGACTCTGCTTCCATCACAGGCCCACCTTGCTAACAATTGTAGCAAAGTCCACCATTTCTATGGTTGCTTCCAGAGCAGGGTAGGCCTACTGAGAAAATCTCTTGCCTTGCAGTCCAAAGACAAGGATGGGATAAATTGGTAGGCAGTTCCTTCCTCTCCAACCTAGGGCTTAATGCCCTCTGGCTGCTTAAGTGCCAAAATGAACTTCCTTCTCTCTCCAGCAAAACTTCTGGAGCTCAGCCAGGGCAAGTTAGAGCTACAATCCCCAGGGAACAGGGAGGGCTACAGAAGCTCTTCTTCTCTCCTTGTAAGCAGTCTACTTCCCTGTTACTTCCTCTCATCACATGAGATATTCTCCAAAATGTAACAAAGGAGAAAAGTAACCTAATTAAATTCGTTATCACTGAGAAGTGTATCTATCAGTTCATGACACAAACATGCCTTGCGTCTCTTATGTGTCTACCCTTGTGCTGATCTCTGGGGTTGCAGGGCTTCTACTTTCTGAGCTCACAGCCTAAGGGAAAGGCTGATAAAAACCAAGACCTATCTAGAGAGGATTCTGTGGGACACAGTGCCATGGGGAAGCACAGAAAGGGAGAAACCACTGTGAGTTGGGGTATGCAGAGAGATTTCCTAGGAGAGGTGTTCAGGAAGTGAGAGGAAATAGATGGAAGCAATGGGAGGAAGTCAGAATCTTAAAGAAGACATGATTAAAAAATGCACACACACAGCTATGTGTGTGAAGGACACTGACCAGTTTGGAAAGTGTGGAAATCTATGGAGAAGCCAGGGCAGGTCCATTCCATGGCCTTCCTCTATAATTCTTATTCACAAAGCTTTCGGATGGCTTCTATTATCTGGGCAGAGTCTATGACCCTGAGATATGGGAAGAGGCCTTTTGCAGCATCCACCCCCACCCAATATGTTTATGAGATGAGCCTTGGAGTGTCTACCCCTTCCCTGAAGACGGGAGTCTAAGTGCTGTTAACCAAAAGGTTGGTGACTGGAGTCTCCTCAGAGAAGTGTTTGAAGACAAGTAGGGAGATCTACTTGCTAAAAACCAACCACTGACAACCCTACTACTCTGTTCTACTCTGGCACACATGAGGTCGTCATGAGCTGGAGTCTACTGGTTCACTGTAGGCAGCTTCAAGCCAGTAGCACCTGTCAAGTCTTGGCGCTAGAGGTTGCACCTAGAGATCAGAGAATGGCCTTTTACCTAAAAGAGCAGAGGAAGGAAGCTAAGAGCCAAAGTAGCACCTCTCCCCCAAAGCACCACTTCTCCTGAGTGATCGCAGACAGCTCAGCAGAGGATAGGCCATCCTGGGCTACTTGGCCTCCAGTAAAATGTGTTCTCCTGCTTACAATCTTTCCCTGCCTGTGGCTCCATTAAAGCTGAGCTTCCTAGACCTTCAGTCTGGGTGGTCCCTCCCACAATTCCCCCCTTTTCCCTCAAACACATTTAACTATTTAGAAGGCAGCATACAAAGGTCAGGGTTATAGTACCCTTTTAGGAGTGGAGAAGTTTTTAAGGATAAAATTTTTTCCCAAAGTAGAAATAGCCCCTAAAACAGGCTTTCAGATCTTTTCTCTTCTGGTTACAGCTAGGCATTTTCCCTTTCTCTCCACTGGGAGTGGGAGGGGGATGGGAATAGCAATGGGGTAAAGGTTTCATCTCTGGCCTTGGGAAAAAATTGGAGGACAGTCTTGGCAGTTCCTCCTCTTACTGCCTTCAGGGGTTCTTGCCAGTAACCAAGGGTAAAGTGTTGCTGGGGGAAGGGATTCCTGGAGGAGTAGCCATCAAAGTTTTTTGGCAAGTTCTCAGAACCCTGTTCCTCAACAACACCTCCCCAGAGTGCTCCCTGATTTGTCACTGAAGGCACCCTTTCTCCTCTCCTTCACTTCCCTCATGATTGGGAGAGGGCATGGCAAGCCCTATCCGCTCTTCGGCATGCCTGGCTTTTCTAGTCTTGAATCCATAGAGGTGGCAGGCCAGTGGACTTTCAGTTGCTCACTCACTGTATTTCAGACATAAACACACCCTCTATAGCTGGTGTCAAAAGGAAACAAAAGCTAACCCTGCATTCTCGCAGACAAGTAAGAGCAAAGAGAAGAAAAATCAAAGCATCATGGGTACCCAGACAGTCTTAGATTTGGTGGAGACAATAGAAGCAGTGTCCTGAGCTGGGGTTCCTTTTAATTGGGACCCAGACTTAGCTTAGCCTTCCCCTGGGGTGCGCTTACTTGCTGTCTTCTCTGTTTTTCCTTTAGCTCATTTTCAGGGGCTCCCAGAGCCTCAGTGGGAAAGTCCAGGAAGGGGTCTAGGTTAGGTTAATCATCTTCTCTTCCCCCACCCTGCCCTCCCTCCAAACCTACCCAGATGCATCCTCTTTCTGTGGTTGAGGATGAACCTTCTGGCCTCTTGGCCCAAGCAGACACCAAGGGTCAGCAGTCTTGGACTTTTTGGAAAAGGGGATACAAACTAAGAACGGGAAAGGTCTTTAAAAATCACCCATTTCAAATTTTCCATTTTGCAGATGGAATAGAAACAGAAAAGAGGCAAAGCCAAACAACATTTCAGAGGCCAAGTCTTCTTGCATCCAGGACAGGAATCTGCCTTGCATCATCTGGGCCCCACAAATCTAATTTCAGTTCCAGAGGGAGGTCAAGGCTTGGTTCATCTTGGGCACCACCACAGCTCCCTCTCCCTCTTTGTCAGTTTTAACCCCTTCAGCTGGACCATCTCAGCTCCTGTCTGATCACAGCAAACTTCCAGGAACCTTGTCCTGACCAGTGGGAGGAATGCGATGCTCAAAAGCCCCTAAGAAGGCTAGTGGTGGTGGCAATCCCGCAGGGGAGAGCATATCTAGTCTCTCACAAGTTCAATAAGAACACTAAGATTAGGCCAAATAATGCAAGGGACTTGTGAGCTGGTTGAGATTTTTGAAGCAATGTAGAAACCAGTATTTCAAACAATTCTTTATAATTACTGCCACCCACAGTGCAGTGAGGACATCAAGAGAAACCTTTACTTTGATAATACTAGGAGGTGAAATCTCACTCCAGGAGCCACTTTTATCTTCCACCAAACACCTGCAGGCTGTAAAAGCAAAGCAAGGAGGGGCAAAAGCAGAGCGCATGTGTGTGTGTGTTTGGGGGGGGGGGGAGGGTTGGGGGAGGAGGAAGGTGGATAGGGCTGTGAAAACCTCATTCCTCAATTATCTGAAGCAGGAGAGGCTGTGTAATTAGTATATAAAGGAGTGCAGCTGGAGAAGAGTCTGAAAAAATATCAAACCAGATACAGGATGCTGGCTCTTCCTTAGCAGGGTGGGCAGACCTCATTAATAGGAGGTCTCAAACCTTTCTTTCACTGCTCTTGCCTTCACTAAAACCATGTTAACTAGGCTGGAGCTACTTTCTGCTTGCTTTAAGTCTCCTGGGGACAACAGTTGAGCTGGAGAAAGTGACTAGTGACTGAGTGAAAGGTAGGGAGTGATTGAAGGGGGCTGAGCCTGTAAGCGGTGGGGCAGCTATGGGAGCAGGGGGCAATAAGTGTGGCCGAGGCTCAGGGGCTGGGCTGACCAAAGGCAGCAGCTGCAGAGGGATCAGTGTGTGTGGAAGCAGAATAGCCAGCAGTTAGGCCTATGAACCCAGAAAGTCTGTTTAGGCTCAGGGACAGATTTATTTGGTGAGAGCTGCTTTACCACTGGACAGATACTGGCTCAGCTTGAAAACCTTGAGGCAGAGGAGCTAGCTATTGTGTTCTACTGTGTTCCACACACTTGCCCAGATGGTCGTCACTGTGCTCTCTGAGCACACACTGTGTTATCCTTGGAGCCCCCCTGACATGGAGCTGAGGATTGTCTTCACAAGTCTCCACATGCCTCTGGAAGGTGCTCTTTATTGGGAAATAAATACAGAATCAAACAGGTAGGCCAGCCAACATCAGTAGTTTTGGCACCAAAGGAGAAAGTGTGACTTCCTCAGAACTCAGATCTCCATAAGCTGGTCACTCCCCACGATCACCTCGTTCACTCGTTTGGCTACAAAAGAAAAAGAAAAGGTTTTCTGAGAACTGACAGCAAAAGATGGCATTTCAAACCCATCTTCCACACAGGAGGACTGTCTATACACCCGGCTCTGGGGAGGTTTCACCTAGGAGGGAAACTGGAGCTGGGTCTTAACTGGATCTTAAAGGATGAAGAGGTTTTTCCAGGTAGTGAGTCAAAGGGAAGGCATTATGGGCTGATAGAAAAGACATGGAGGTGTGAGAATGGGGAACATGAAATTCTGGCGTGGCCACAAGATAGGGAATAGGAGGAAAATAGAGAAAACAAAATCAAAATGTTAAGTGGAGATGTCCAAAAGAGGAAAGGTATTATATTAAAATAATACCACTTACCCCATAAAGTTTATAAAAAAGATTTAATAAGTTAAATGGGTAAGTGAGTGCTCAAGAAATAGTGGATACTATTATTTTCATAGTCAAAACCTATAAGCCATTCCATGACCTGGCCCCTTCCAGTTTCATCACCTACCATTTCCCATTTACACTAATAAACGACATTGGTTTGTACTTCTAGACCTTGGCGCAAGACCTTCCTCTTGCCTGAAATGGCTTTCTCCTATTTTCTTCCTTTATCGTCTTTGTTGTTGTTGTTAGGTGGTTGGTTCTAATTCCTAGTGATCCTATGTACAACAAAATGAAACACTGCTGAATCCAGTGTTATCTTCACAATTGTTACAGTCCCTGTGGCAATCCATCCTATTGAAGGTCTTCTTGCTTTACCAAGTATGATGTCCTTTTCCAAAGGCTGGACCCTTGTGATGATATACATGTCCAAAGTATGTGAGATGAAATCTTGCCATCTTTGCTTCTAAGGAACATTCTGACTGTACGTCTTCCTAGATAGATTTGTTTGTTCTTCTTAGCTAAAACCAGAATCCAAAGATATCAATTCTTCTTCACGCTTCCTTATTCATTGTCCAGTTTTGCATGCATAGGAAGTAGTTGAAAACACCATGACTTGAGTCAGGCACACCTTAGTTCTTAAAGTGACATCTTTACTTTTTATCACTTTAAAGAGGTCTTTTGCCACAGACTGCCTAACACAATACATCATTTGATTTCTTGACTGCATGGCATGGATGCCATGGGTGCTGACTGTGGATTTAAGTAAATTGAAATCCTTGATAACTTCACTCTTTTCTCCATTATCATGATGTTGATGACTGGTCCAGCTGTGAGGATTTTTGTTTTCTTTATGCTGAGGTATATTCCACACTGAAGACCTCTTCACATTCTTGTTAAGTTCCATCAAGTTGGTTCAGACTCACATCAACCCTGTATAAGGTTCTGAGGCTGTAAATCTTTGCAGGAAGCTTCATCTTTTTCCTGAGAAGAGGTGGTAGGCTTGAACCGCTGACCTTGTGGTTAGCAGTCGAGTGCTTATCCAGTACCTGTGGTACTTTGCAGTCTTAATTACCCAAATGCATCTAGTATGTGATGCATTCCTTTTTTTTCTTTAAATAGATGTTTTTTTAGTTTTTTTAAATGTTTTATTGTGAATTATGTGATAGTTTACATGGGAGAACATTAGTTTTACATTCATCCTATCGTATATCATTTCATTGCCATGGTTACAATCCCCTCCATGCATCATCAGTCAACAAAAGGGCATACCCTGCAAGTCTTCCCCCT